CTCTTGACCCAGGTTACAGTTCTTTTAGGAAGTTCCTGATGTCCTTTCTCTGCTGTTTCGCGCTCTTTCTGTGTGTGTACACACATACAAACTTCTCAGCAATCTAGGGCACGGCCTGCCAACAGGGTCACAAAAACTGACCAATCCCCTCTTTGCAGGCCACAGAACCGTCTCTTGCACAGTCCACTGGCCAATTCTGACAAAGTGCACATAACCACACGGGCAGGCTGCAGCCCAACCACTGCCACTAAGCTGGTCCTGACTCAGACCCTAGAGGGCAGGCAGAACTGTCCCTGTGCGTTTCTGAGACTGTATGTGCTACTCCCACCAAGTTTCCCAAGGAGCGACTAGTGGTTTCGAACTGTGGACCTTATGACTAGCAGCCCAATGTGTAAGTAACCACTACGCAGCCCAGGGCCAGGGGAAAAATACCCAAGCACAAGTGGTTTCTAGCTTACCCAGGACATGTCTTCAGCCTGGGCAGAAGGGAACAAACCCTATAGTGTAGAAAAACTGGGCAAAAGTTAATTCCTCAGGTCTTAAGGAGAAAATCTCCCAAGAGGTTTCTTTAAAACAAACAAAACAAGGCAAGGCCACAGAACCCAGGGAAAAGGCCACAGAAAGGAGCTCCTTCACCACACAGGCTTAAGAAGGTCCCAAGGACGCCTGTGCTCTGCCTGTGTGATTGTTTTTGCCACTTTGCATTCAAGACCGGCCAGCTGAGCATAGAACACCAGATGGGGGAGTACCACGAGGTCTAAACAACCATAACCAGTCCTTGGGAAGCACCATTATTTGTGTGCGAGCTGGTCTGGGGGGTTCACCTGTCTTGCTCATCCTTTCTGAACAAAGGTCCAGGTGCTTTATGGAGCCTTTACTGGAGCCAGGTTCTCAGTCTAGGCTGCAGGGACTCCTGGGGCCCTTCTGTGAAAACTGACAGGCCGACGCAGAGGTTTACAAACCGGCTTTGGATATGAGCATCAAATGCCTGACTGGGTCGTAGGGTCTCAGTCAGATTCCACTGAGGGCACAAAGTACAAAGGATCAATCAAGGAGCTGGGCCCCTGTACTAGAGGCCACTGTCACATGCAGGCTCCTATCTTCTGAATTGTATTTTAAAGTTTACATATGTTTGCCCTCAAGAATTACATGATTCCACCCTCTATAAAAATTGGATAACAGGCTATCAACTCACTCACTGCCATCCAGATTCCAACTCACAGCGACCCCATAGGACAGGGTAAGCACTGCCCCTATGGATTCCCAAGACTGTAACCCTTTATGGGAGTAGAAGGCCTTGTCTTTCTTCCAAGGAGAAGACTGATGGTTTCAAACTGCTGACCTTGTGGTGAGCAGCCCAATGCAAACCCACTATGCCACCAGGATTTAAAAAAAATAACAAACCGGCTAACATCCCTAAAATTAATCTTTCCAAATGGCATTCTTTTGACTTACTCTAGAAAAAGGTTAACAAAACTGTTTTAAGAAAGAAATCAAATGAGCCAGTCAGGGTGCAGTGTAGCACTGATGAAACACACAACTTTCCTCTAGTTCTTTAATGCTTCCTTTCCCCCCTCTGTCATGATCCCAATTCCACCTTACAAATCCAGTTAGACCAGAGCATGTACATGGGTCCAGAGAAGAGCTGGAAACACAGGGGATCCAGGACAGATAACCCCCTCAGGACCAATAATGAGAGTAGCGATACCAGGAAGGTAAAGGGAAGGTGGGCAAGGGGGGTGGGGGGGAGGGGAGTCCAATCACAATGATCTACATATAACCCCCTCCCAGGGGGGCAGACAACAGAAAAGTGGGTGAAGGGAGACATTGGTCAATGTAAGACATGAAAAAGTAATAATTTATCATTTATCAAGGGTTTATGAGGGAGGGAGGGGAAAAAATGAGGAGCTGATACCAAGGGCTCAAGTAGAAAGAAAATGTTTTGAAAGCGATGACGGCAACATATGTACAAGTGTGCTTGACACAATGGATGGATGGATGGATGGATGGATGGATGGATGGATGGATGGATTGTGATAAGAGCTGTTTGAGCCCCCAATAAAATTATTAAAAACAAACAAACAAAAGAAAAGAAAGAAATCAAGGCTCATACCCCTGTAGCACTTTAAAGTCATAAATCCGGGATGAGTGGAAATCTAGAACTCAAAGCCCCATCTTTCTCTGCTGGAACTAGCACCAACTTCCTTAGAAGGCATGTCATTCTGGGAGTCACAGCACCGCCCTATTCCCAAAGTCCAGCAACTGTGCAGATGAGTCACTAGCAACACGTCACTTATTAACAAGAAGCTGAAGTGTGCTGCGCATCCTCAACACCAGCTCCTCTTAAAAAAGGAACAGTCTTATAGCATATTGCCATGAGGAAGGAGGGTGGGAGGAAGGGAAGGCAGGCAGGCTACAGGAGATGACAACCCTATTAAAACCAAATCAAAGAGTGTGTGTGTGCATGTGTGCCCGCCTGCTCATACACACAGAAGTGTTCAGACAGACTAGAAGACTAGGGGATACAACAAATTACTGGCTCTCACAACGACTGCCTACTTGCATGATAATGAATTCCACCACCACTACCCCCACCCCCTCTTTGGGGTTTCTGTGCTGCTATCTAAGCAGTGACCATGTATTTGTTTTGAATAAGGAAAGAATTTTGGGGCATTTTTCTCCCACATAGTTCTTTTGAACCCTAAAAAGGTTTTTTAAAAAGCAATAAAGAGATCATGTTTTCTTTTAGAGCATTCTCATTTAAACAGAGGTGGCTATTAATGTAATAGAGGTATCAAGCCAAGTTTAAACTTGTAAAGCTGTGTTGAAATCAATAACTGCTTCAGGTAAATCAAGATCTCCCTCTTGTTCATTTCCTGAAATTAATGTTAAATGCTTCTCCAGACAGGCTTGGTTATGAATTTTCCAGAGGGGGTTGGTTGTCATGGAAAAACAGGAAGAGGCCATCCCAGTGCTCAACTTCAGTATCACTCCTTAGCTGTCAAGAAACCTTGGACAGACCGATTACAAGGATCTACATATAACACCACCGCCACCACCCCCACCACCACCCCCACCCCTGGGGATGAATAACAGAGAAGTGGGTGAAGAGAGACGTGGGACAGTGTAAGATATGACAAAATAATAATTTATAAATTATCAAGGGTTCATGGAGGGGGTGCAGGGAGGGAGGAGAAAAATGAGCTGAAACCAAGGGCTCACTCAAGTAGAAGGAAACCCGTTTTGAGAATGATGAGGGCAATAAATGTACAAATGTGCTTGACACAATGGATGGATGTATGGATTGTGATAAGAGTTGTATGAGTCCCCAATATTTTAAAAAGATCTGTATGAGCCCACAGTAAAATGATAAATATTTTTAAAAAGAAACCATGAACAGACAGATGACCATCTCTCCAAGCTCAAGTCTCCTCATCGGCTGAAAGTACTCAAGCCTTATGGGTGATTAAGAGGGTTGAATTAAATCATTTTTATAAAGAGGTGGCCTATAAACATTTGATTCCACATCCTCTCTATGGAAATCAGATAATCATATATGTATGTGCATGAACTATATAACCATATTTTAACCCAGACTTTTTTTTAAATTAGAAAGTTTATTCCATAATTGTAAATATGCCTTTATGAGCATTGCTGAGGTCTGGAGGAACCGAATTCATTGTTTGTTTGTTTTTAAAGAAAATTTTATTGGGGCTCATACAACTCTTATCACAATCCATACATACATCAATTGTGTAAAGCACACTTATACATTTGTTGCCCTCATTAGTCTCAAAATCCGCATTCTGCTTGGGTTCCTGGAATCAGCTCCTCATTTTCCTTTGCCCCCCGCCCCCTCCCTCCCCAACTTTTTTTTTTAAAGAAGAAAGCGATTTGATCATTGAATAAGCATTGAACTAGAATGTGACATACATTACAGTTAAACCACTAAAGAGATGACAAAGTCAAAGAGAAGTTTCACGTTTCATGTACAGCCACACAGGTATAACCCATTGCTTCCCAGATAAGCAGTAACAAAAACCACGACTGGCTATTGCACCCATTCTGACTCTTGGTGACCATATGTGTCTCACAGTAGAACTGTGCAAATCCACAACTTTCATAGGAAAATAATAAATATAAATTAAACATAACATAAAGCATTTTCTTCCTGCTTCTGATGGATCCTGGGCACCTAAGCCTGACACTGAATCCGAGGCCAATACAAAGAAAGAGTCCACAAAGAAAGAGTCGGGAGAGAAGGAAGGAGGGAGGGGATGAGGCCTAGACACCCATCTGATGGGCATTGAAAAATGACATCTCGTCCCACAGCCCACCACCCACAGTACAGAGGGGAGAGAGGAGGGCCAGCAGGGGCCAGCACAGGCAAGAACTTGCCTCTGTGCCCTCCTTCCCTTCTTGCCTCAGGCACTTTCAGGAGTAATTACTCCTTCCCCAGGGTCTCCACAATATTTAATGACTTCAAACATCAAAAGCAAACTCACTGCCAAGTCGATTCTGACTCATAATGACCCTGTAGGGCAGGGTAGAACCGCCCCATGGGTTCCTAAGACTGCAACTCCTTAAGAGTGTAGAAAGCCCCGTCTTTCTCCCGAGGAGCAGGTAGTGGTTTTGAACTGCTAAGCTGGTGGTTAGCAGCTCATCACGTAAGCATTACATCATCAGGGCTTCATTATAAGATCCTCAGCAAGGAGCAACACCTGACTAGCTGAGAGGGAAGATGAACTAAGATCTGGATGTAAATGCTGCTCTCCAGAACCACGGAGGTCCCTGAACTGGCGAAACTTGAGCCAGAATAAGGAGATTCCCCACAGATGACTCACTCACTCTCTCTCTCTCTCACACACACACACACACACCACCGACACCCCCCCACTCCCCCACCCCCTCACCCCCTGCTTGAGCCAAAACCTGTTACAATTCAGGAGCCTGACCAAATGAAGCTAAGTCGCAAATAAGCTGCCCAGGGGAGGGCTTACCTTGACCATCTCCGGTTCTTTGACGTCCAGAGAGCGTGCGTTCCGATGGTGTTCGTGTTTGTGTAACCTGTGATGTTTATGAGCACTTGGTGGTGTAAAAAACCAAATCAGGCAAACTGCAGTCATGAATCCCAGGCCAATGCCCAGGAAGAGTCCACTCATGTACTGGGGGAGGGGGAGGATGAGGTACGCGTAGACACACATGATAAAGAAGCCCAGGGTCTTCACAGGCAATTCCTGGTGCTGCTCGGCCGAGTCCAGCTCGTCGTCGCTGTCGAGAGTCAAGGCATCGTCCACAAGCACATCGGGCTTGAGAGGGACGTCTGGGGGCTTGTCGCCTTTACTCTCGACCTCGGCTTCCAGGTCAAAGTCCTCCGTGTACAGTTCACAAAACTCGTCATCTTCTTTGCTCACCAAAGCAGACAAGGAACATTTCTCCAGAACCAGAGAGCTGGTCTTCAGGCCAAAGTCCTTGAGGCTGCTGCCAACCTGGGAGCTCTTCGGTTCGGCCTCACGTGGGGGCTCCTCGGCTGACTTGGCGTGGTCACTTCTGGCGACGGTGGGATCGCTTCCGAAGCAGTCCCCCTCCGAGTCACACTCCTCTTCCTTGATGCTGTAGTTGTTATTGCTTTCCAAGTGCCCGTTCCAGCTGGACAGGTTGGAGAGTTCTGAAGCACTTGAAGATAAGGCTTTGGGCCGATGGCTGCCGCTCTCCTCCCCGATGATTTTACTGAGGAGCTGAAAAGGCTCGTAGATGACCTCTGAAAGGCGTCGCTTTGTGTCTTCAATTTTAGCCTCCATTTCGGGCACTTTAAAAAAGGAGCGGGTATCCGAGGGGGATGTCAGCGGGGAGGAAGGGGCGGTTTTGGAATCCCCGCCTGTGTTTCGTGGCTGTGTGAACTGCTTGAACAAGTGCAAGTTCAGTTTGGAGTCGGGGGGCTTGTAGGACACGGTCTCCGACTCCTGCCTGGAAGTGTCTGTGGACAGAGACTTCACTAACGTCTTCATCAGGTGCCTGTGCCTTGGCGGGTGCGGGGGTTCTTTTGGCTCCACCTCTGTCGACAGGGACTTCCCAAGGCTCAGGAAGGGCTTTGCACTGGCGAGGGTGGAGGACGAGGCACTGGAGGACAGCACAGGAGACTTGGAAGGAGAGGACAGCGGGGAGGAGGAACTGGTTTTCTGCTCAGAGAGGGAGGACACACTGGGAGAGCTTGCTAAGGGGCCTGACGAAGACGACCCCGGGGACAGAGCCACTGGCACTGTACTTAATACTTGGGCTGCTGGAGGAGGGGACGCCAGCAGCTTGACAGTGTTCTCAGAGACGGGCAGAACGGCTGGGGGCTGGGCCACCGGCAGCCCATCTGCCAGGGTGGGCGAGGCGGCAGGGCCATGGCCAAGATAGAGGTCTTCCTTGGCCTCAAGCCCTGTTACGATGCTTTGGTTGTCCAGCCCCTCCCCCAGGTACTCCCTCAGCTCATCCTCCTCTTCCTCCTCCTCCTCCCCGGATGCTGAGAAGTGGATGGCGATGGTGTCTCGGGACAGGGACCTCTGCACGTGCACTTTGGGGGCTGAAGGTTTTGGCATGTCAGTGGTTTTTTCAGCATGGCTACCATTCAGACTGGTCATCGCCGGCTTCACAAGGGCTCAGGCTCTGCGAAAAGAGAAAGAAAAGGAGAGGTCAGAAAGCGGTTTCTCCGGAAGAGATGCTGTATGTGCCAATACCAGTGCCTGGGAAGCTCCGTTTGAAATAGTGATTTTGCTGTTACTTAGCAGGTGGCCACTGCTTTTCACGGTTTAATTTTCACTAGATAAAGTCGTTGGGCAGTCTCTTTTATGAGCCAACTCCAAGCCAGTATCATACATGCCAGACAATCTGTCTCGCTTCCCAACATCTCAGCGATTATTCCCTCCCCTTTAATGGGTTGGGCCGATCAACAGTTCTGGACCTCCAGGCCTCCCACACCTGCCGGCAGAGGCCCCGCAGCACTGCTTCGGAAGGCGACAGGCAGAGCCTGGTCATTCGGAGGCTCTTGGAGCGACGAGCTCACCAGTGGTTTGCTAGCTATAAAAAGCTAGCGCAGGAGGGCATACTGCTTCCACTGCAATTTTCCCAGCAATCCTAACAATTATTTGGCTTGCACCTCCCTGTAACACTTACATACTCTTGCCATTACAAATAAGCAGTAATGTAACCCAAATCTAAAAAGAAGAATCTGTCAACCAGTGAAATGATCGTGGGAACCCCATGGCCAGAGGGGCTAAGCAGCATGAAGACAGGACGTGCATTCTGAGGTGCCAGGACACAGCAAATGTATTTGAAATGGAATCTAAGATTCCATCGATACCTTTCACCGACAACTCTGCTAGGGGCCAGAGAGACAGGGAAGCCACTTCGACCCTTCAGAGAGCAGCAGAGAGCAAAGCAAGGCTGCAAGCCCACGGTCTCACTAGTGTCCCTCGAGACCCATCTCCTGGGCACCAGGCAGGGCAGTCCCCACAGGTGGAAAGAGACCCAGTCAAAAGAAAGGAATGCACAGGGTGGGCGTCAGGAGCTCTGAGGCCCGCATGGGTGGTAGCGCCCAGCTCGTTTTCTTGACAGAGGGTATGCTGTGGTACAGTGAGTGTGGCTAGGAGGGAGGGGACGTGAGCATGGGAGGGAGCCTGGTACGCTTAGCCACAGGGTCTATTCTCTAGCTCCAGCCCGGAGGGCAGGTGCTGGGGAGCCAGCAGGGGGGCCTTTGAGAAAGCTAGAAAAGCCGGCCTTGGACCTGGAGCTAGCTAGCCAGAGCTTCTGGTACCAGCTCCTTTTCCACGCTAACCAGACCACGCGTCTCTGGGTCTCAGTATCTTCAATGGGTATGTTCCCCTTCCAAATCTAAGACCTTCCATGTGTGGGCTGACAGAAGGCTGTCTACACCCCAACAAAAGATAATTGCAAATATTCTACCACAGACAATAAACATTAAGCTATTTGTTTCTGTAATTTGAAGAGCTCTTACATGCAAATCTTGTGACAAACATTCATCATCAAAATGCCGGCAACTGATACCACCAACAGGAGAAAATGTAAAACCTTGGGGGTGGGGGCGACACAATGATGCCACACACAGTGGTCCTGGATCACCCCAAACAGGACAAACACACCCTCCTGCAATGAGGACAAGAATTATAGGCCCAGGGCCCAGCAACACAGACAGATCTGAAGCGACACATGGCCAGGATGGCTATTTGACAGAGACTACTTTCATCGCGGTGTACCGGTAGTTTTGCCCACACTCACCCCTGCCGTCTCTTACACCCAACTGGAGCCAGGAAATAGGCACAATCTCTACGGGGCTGATAAAGCCATCTCCATCCAGGAGCTGATGGACAAGCTCAACAGACAGTGCCCTGGGTTCAGAACAATCCTCTGTGATCTGTACGCCAACAGGTTTGTACGCGGAGTGAGAAGACAAGCACCATGAGTGACCCGTGTTTCTCATCTAACCCACCTGGCTTGGCAGGGATCATTTTAAAAGAAAATTGTAGGGGTAATTCAAAAAGAAAGATGGGAACTGGATGATTTTCAGCAGGCTGAAGAAGACTATTTAAATTGCCTTAATAACACAAAGGACAGGGTGCAGGCTCTGCTTCTGAGGTGGTCACCACCAGGGCAGAGGTGACCACAAGTGAAGGTGACGGGCCACAGGCTCACACACCAAGAACTCTGGGTAAGCCGGTCCACTGGGCTCCACAGGGAAAAGTCTGGCCAGGGCCAGGGCCAACGGGTGAACTGGGGGTGTGTCCAGGAGCCTGTGAATCCTGGTCACTTGGCAAGGCCCTGGGGAGCACTGTGAGGGCACCTGTTTGCCCAACTCTCCTCCACAAAGCTGAGGCCCTGGCTTGCTCCTTTAAAGGAACCTTTGCTGAACCTTCAGCATTGAACTGCTAACCACAAGATGTGAGGTTCAAACCCACCAGCCGTTTTGCAGAAGGAAAATGAGACTACTCTCAGGAGATTTACAAAGCCTCAGAAGCCCAATAAAGGATCATGTGAGTCAAGCATCAACTTGATGGCAGCGTTAGATTTCTGACCAGATTCTCTCAAGGCCGGGGCTGGGGCTGGGGCTGGGACACTGCAGTCTGACAACATAGAGCCTCACAGTCATTCCTCCAAACTCCACAGTGATTAAAGCCCCATGCCGTATCACTGGTTTCTAACTAAACCATGCTACACCTTAAATACAAGGGCATCTCTGAGCTTGTTTGCTCTTCTGCACAGTGAGGGGATCAGACAAAGGCTGCTTCTGGCTCCAACAATGCTAGCTAACTGAGTATACTGGACCCAGAGCCTGTGGTTTGAGTCCTAAACCCCCCACCGCCACCCCACCACCACCCCTTTCAAATGGTCACTCTCTCCTCTCCTCCTGGGGACCACACTCCCTGTCTCCTAAAGGATAGCCACACCCTGCACACCAGGAAGATCACATGGTTTTCCCAAAGCCACAGCACTGATGGGGTGGGGGCGAGGAAGGCAAAGACAGTTAAGACATGGAGTTTCTCTCCCACCAGATCAAGCTGTGTCCTCACACGTCACCTTTCCAGCAAGGAAAACAAGACAGACGCAGCAGAAACAAAAGATGGCAGAATAAAAATTTCAGAACAAAAAGCAAGCATGCATAGTAACTTCAAGGTAAGTTTCCAATATCTGCAGGAAGACTTAGTTATCAAAACAGGAGGTTTCAGCAGTCTGGGCTGGAACTCAGAAATACCTGAACTAGAAGGCTGGCCATGGGAACAGCGATGCAAAGGAAGGAAACAACAGGGCCAGGAACACGGGAGCACCCCAAGGAAGCCCAGGGGCCGTCAGCCAGTGGGCTGGGTGGACTGATGAAGCCCCACTCTACCTGACACTGGGACTTGGCAGATGTTGTTCAAGGTCTTGAGATGGGGAAGTTATTTGGATTAACTGGGTGAGCCCAATGCAATCACAGGGTGGCTCAAAAGAATGAGAGCGAGAGGCAGAGGTGCCGGAGGAGGAGGCGCACTGGCAGAGGAGGAGGAGGCGCACTGGCAGAGGCGGAAGGGGCCATGAGCTAAGACCTGCAGATAGCCTATCGGTAGTCTCTGGGAAAGGCCAAGAACCATTCTGAACACAAAGGCATCCCGGGGTCTCTCTGCTCCAGAAGGAAATTTCACAGGCCTGCCTACCTCCCAACAGCAAGATAATGTAGTTGGGTTGTTTTAAGCCACAAAGATGTTGTCATAGCTGCTATGGAAAACTGAAAACAAGGTGGTATTCCACACAGTCTCATGTGTTAATCTTTCTCCCTCAAATCAGCAAGAGGCATTTTTAAAAGAGGGACTGTTTTGTGGGTCCAAACAGAGTCCAAAGCGTTGGGAAAATATTGTCTGTTATGACTCAGAATTGAGCTTGGTTTTAATATGGATCTCTGAGGCTCACTCACTGTGATGTGTACACTTCATACTTAGGACGACTACAAGGAAGGAACAGGGTAAAGGCAGGGTCCCCAGAACAAAACCATACCCAAT